CGATGTAGAAGGGCACAGGAATCTGAACGGAGGGGGTCAGGGCACCAGATGCAGTATCAAGATGCAGAGCTGCAATCTTGTTTTGTGAGACTGCCTCGTATATATCGTGCATGGCAGCGGCCAGTGACGAACTTTGTAATATCTCCTTCCAAAGGACACTCATCCGTTTGCCTAGTATTGTGGTTAATTTCCATTTATCGTAGGAGCCTTATGGCAACGTACGCTCCTCTCGCGCCTTGTCTTTCGCAACAAGTATCCGTTTCGATTCTTTCCAGACAAACTCGCTATGCTGTTGGCTGTACTTGAAAGCCTTGCTAACTTTCTTAATGATGTGATCGTATAAAGACTCGATAACGTCTTTAACCTCGTTGCTGTTGGGATTGAGGATAAAGACAAGGTTGAACATGGTCATTGAGCTGCGTTTCTCGTCGTCCTTGTCTTTGCTCTCATCCTTCTTGGCCTCTTTCTCTTCGGCAGGCTGTTCAGTTGCTTTTCCTGTCGTTGCAGGACCAGCTTCGTGTGGAGCTAGCTGTTCATCATTGTAGTTAGAGCGCTTTTCGGCGCGAGAAGCCTTCTTAGGCTTCTTCCACCTGCCGTTCTCAGGAACATGAATGGGATACGATACACAATACAGTGGATCTAAGGATAATTGAAAGAGCCGTTTGTGATATGAGCGGGCGGGCGTGAGAATACCGGCAAGATCGCGAGCTGGGAAGCCTGCCACACGCTCCCAAGGCACGATCTGGGAGCCTGACTCGGTGAAGGAGTGCTCATCTGGATTCCGTCCCTGCTTAGAAACAGGTGCGTCATCGGCGACATCTGAGAAGCTCTGCTGCGATAGGCGTTCGAGCAGGATGTCCTCGAGCTCATTTCCAGTAACTGAGCTCGACTTGGAGTGAGGCTCAACTTGCGCAGGATAATGGAACACGAAAGCTGGACCATCACGCGAACGGTTAACTACAAGGGCGACGGCGAGGAAGTTGTCGCTGGTAACACTGGGCACAGCCATGATAGCGCTTTTTACATGATATGACGTGCTGGAATATGGAATGTTGTAGCCCAGCGGTCGGTAATTACATGTGTACAATGCCGTATATTGTTTCTGGTTGTCTCAACCGTCAGTTGAGGTTGGTCGCGATGGGGTTTGGCATCTAACAGTCAGAGCCTCATGTGGTTGTGGGGGAAATGAGCCTCAAGAGCGCCACATTTTCAACGATGGAGGGGTTCCATGGAAGGTACCTCGGGAAAGTGCCTAGACTGTACCTAACTTCGCAGGGGCCGAGTTAAGAAGAAGACACCTAGAATTACCTACAGTGATGTGCCATTAAATGTGGCGTTGTTTGTTTGATGACAGATCTTTGTGCAAGTGGATGATTGATCAAGAAGGGCAGGCTGGTTTCTATCGACTACTATTTTTAATTTAGTATATAGTTGATTCCTTCTCTCGTCAAAAGGTGTCATGCGCAAATCCCCCCAAGGTGCGGTATTCGTATCCACGATAGCGTTGAGTAGTCAATCTCAACAAGTCGGTGAAGGAAGCAGACAATAAAATGAGAGCAGAAAACAAAACAAAAAACACGGAACTATTCCTCACAGCAAGCAATGTGCTGTTATCCAACATGATCTTTGGGTGGATGTATATGATTGCATTGGCCGTTTTATGAATTACCTCAGGCATTAGCTACTCTACTACATAGTACGACAGTCTTGTACGTGCAGATCGGTCAGAAGGTACACAACAACGCATACAGTAAAAAGGGGGAATGGAACTCGCATATCAGTGGCGAGAAGTCGTAGTTGTTGGACCTAAAACGCAACAGACGGGTTTTCCAAACAAAATTACCTATGTTATTTTCTCCCCTCTGTTTGCCCTTTTCACCGACCGACACTTACAAGGCTGCTTTCTCCACCCAGTCACAAACACCATTTTAGTGGATAGTTGAGCACCCTAGGGACGAATTAAATCAAACCCAAAAACACAAACGCAAGTAAATCAATCATTGGACATGTGATTTTGGGCCCAGAAGCTCTTTGATGGGTAACCTGTTGGAAACGCACTATTGCACTGTTCCTAGTAGCAGGCGTATTGCTATTATTATTATTTCTTTGTTGGGGAATATTCAGTTTGACAGTTTAGTGCATGTGGTGTTCAGGTAGTCCACCACCTTACTATTGGGCTTCCAACTTCTCAGCAGTTGAATTGCTTTGCGCGTGACACGAGACAAGAACCCTCGTATTATCTGTCTGAAAACTCTGGCGGATAACGGCACTGAGATTCTTCACATGGAACCAATGATATAGGCCGTCCCACTCGAAACTCGTTCGTCCATTTCTGCTTGCCCACAAAATCAACACCGCTTCGTCCCGCCTGGCTTTAGCTCTACACTAGGTAGGTAATTATTCAATTATTACTGCCACCACACTATCCTACACGAGTTGAGGCGCAGTGTGCTCACTGTACCTAGTAGTAGTACCGCCGACGTTTGACGGGAAGGGCAAAAGGTCGTGTGCTTTCTTTCTCTTAAGCCCACCATCACCATCACCCTTCACTGTCGCTGCCGCAATATTCTTTATATCAACGAATACACTCCAGGCATATTCTTTTCTATCATTCCGTCCTCGCCGACATCTCCGTTTCGCTCCCGGCCGAAACTCTCTCCTTGAGCCTCCGATACCCCCCTTTCCCCACCGTCTTGCGGTACGACCTGACTGTCCAACTACACCGTCGCCGGCGCCGCCCTATCTTGGGCGTCCCCGGATTTCCATTCCGCCCTTGAACCCCTGGAAGAAAGCAAGCACCCTTTTTTTCCCCCTTCCCCTCCATCTGGTTTCCCTCTACGACTACCCTCAAAAACTATCGTCAGCCTTGAGATCTGGCCTCGCTTGATCGTCAATTGGAGTAACAAGACCGACCGACTTTCCTCATCCGCCTCTCTATTCTCTCCTTCCTTTTCAGACCCGCTGGTCCAGGACCCCACCATAGTTTGTGCCTCGACCTCTCGCCTCTGCATTTATCCCTATCCCCTCTTTCATCACTTATTTTGCCCCTTCCTCCTCAGTGCCCATCTATCTAGGGTACATACCTAGATCCGTACCTGCCTACCTTTTGCAATTCTGACAGTCTCACCACCCTATTTTTCGCACATCACACTGCGCTCGCGTGACCATGACATCCTCACCGGCCAGCCTTGATTTTGGCCATGTTCCTTTCTTGGACTTGGCCTACGACAACAATGAATCAAACGACTCGGCCCTCAAACTCATCTTAACTCTCATGCCGGATTGGGCTAGCGAAGACTCAAACGTTGACTTTGTGCGCTTCACTGATGGCATCACCAACACTCTTTTAAAAGCCATCAACCGCCGTCCTGGCATGTCAAAGCTCGATGTTGACCGAGATGCCATTCTGCTGCGTGCTTATGGTCATGGAACTGCCGTTCTCATTGACCGTGAACGTGAGGCCGAGAACCACGAGCTACTCATGAAGCACGGCCTTGCTACTCAGTTGCTTGCTCGTTTCAAAAATGGCATGATGTACCGTTATATCCTGGGTAAGCCTGCCCGCGCCCAGGATCTCAGTGAACCTCTTATCCTATCCGCCATTGCCCGACGTCTCGCACACTGGCATGCGACTGTCCCTTGCCTACCAGACCCAAATCACACCCGGGATGCTAAGCACGTAAACGGTAATGCCAACACCAATGCTTCTACCGACGGTCATGCCAATGGCTGTGTGAATGGAGACACCAACAAGTCCCGTCAAGAACAAATTGATAGTACTGCTCCGGGCAAGCCTCCGCCTAACATGTGGACAACCATGCAAAAATGGATCTTTGCTTTGCCAACTGATACGGATGCTCAGCGAGAAAGGCAAGCCCTTCTACAAGCTGAGTTGAAGGAGATGGTACAGAAGTTGAGTCAACGGCCTGGCCTTGGCAAGAACGGGGTATGTTGACGAGCTCCACACCTTGTGTAGTATCAAATAGCTGACAATTTTGGTAGCTTGTATTTGCACATTGCGATCTGCTATGTGCCAACGTTATCATCCACGAAGATGACGATGCAGCACCTACAGTCGACTTCATCGACTACGAGTATGCTACTCCTTCACCTGCCGCGTTTGATGTGGCGAACCATTTTGCAGAGTGGGCGGGATACGACTGCGATTACTCAGCCGTCCCTAGACAGGACCAGCGGCTTGCTTTCGTGACAGAGTACATCAAGTCCTACTTTGCGTTAACAGGCGAGAGTGTCAACGAGGAAGAGGAAGTGCGCAAACTTATGATTGAAGTCGATGCCTACCGAGGAGTGCCAGGCTTCTACTGGGGTATCTGGTCACAAATCCAAGCCGTCATCTCAAAGATTGACTTTGACTATGCTCAGTATGCTGAACTGCGTCTGAGCGAGTACTGGGCATACAAGGCTGAGGAGGATGGCAGTCGAAAAGCCTCAGGCCAAGATATGCCATTGAGGGAGCAGACGTGGTGGCGCAACGAGTAGATGAGTCCCACATGACCCGTAGGCACGGCACGACATGGAATGGCGAAAATCGAAGTCAGGGATTGAAGCCGGTGACAGATGCTCACCCTTGAACGGCAGGCGACGACAATGGCTTTAGCGGCCAATGCAGGCGGGGAGCCGAGTAAATGGGTAGAATGGGAACGGCCATAGGGAAGGTGAAATTTTCTCTTCGCTCTTCCCACGGATCCAGTTCTGGTTTCTCTACTTGGTAAGTGTGGCCTTGTCGTCTCCGTTCCAAGCCCGCATCTCCCATTTGAGCTTCCCATCGTTTGATTGGTATCCCCCTTGACAGCTCCCAAATTCTGATGTCCATTTCCGGTGCTGGTCACGCCTAAACCCCTTCTTTCAAATTATTCTCTCATCTTTTTTGGTACTTGTTTATTGGGTCACGACAATAGACAAAGAAAGCTCAACAGCGGGATATGGAATGGCATAGAAGGATAAAGCCATTCAACATGAGCTGCAGCTAGCTACGACGACTAAACAAACGGGCAGGAGTTCATGAACCAGCTGTCCTGTTCATGACTAGTATAATTACGCCATTATTTTAACTGCATCTTTTAATATAGACACAAATCTTGACGCACAAGTTGGCGTTTCTTTAATAACTCAAGTACTCTTGTGCCCTTCCCCCCCCTCACCTAGTTACCCACCTTGTCGTTGTTGATAATGAAGCTGTAGTATCTACCGCATGACTCTGCCTTGCCTCTTCTCATTACCGAGACGTTTCGGACCGTGCCAGTCCACTTACTGTACGTGTGTATCTTGAATCCACTGGCAAGAGCATGATTGGAATTGACCGGTAGGAGCACCCTTACAGGAGAAAGCACGAGGGACAGGTGCATCACCAGAAGCAGCATCTTGCGTCCATCACATCCGCTTGACCAACCGGGGCGTTATCCTAAGATGGCTAGAGACAGCAGGCGGTTGTCTGCGGTGCGTTGCCTTGCCTTGGTCAGGTATAGTAGCAAGGTATGTACTTGTATGGTGTGGCTTGTGGGAGAAGGCAGACGTGGCTGGCTTAGGAGATGAGAGATAAAGGTACCTACCTACGTGATGTGTAGCAAGCCAGGTAAGGTACGACGTAGTGTCGCATCGAGCCTGGGGCAGGCTGGGGCCGTTGAATGTCTACCTAGGTAGGTAGACAACGTGCATGTGCGTATGTACAGAGTAGATACCTACTGCATGAAGGTACCTTGGTACCTAGAAGGTAGGTACCGGGCAGCATGTTGCTGAGATGTGAAGTCTATCTTTACTTGTCACCTCTTTTCCAAGCTACCTGACTATTAACTAATACAGTCACTTGATACTCAGACTTGATCTTCTACCTACTTAGGTATCTACTAAGATAGGTATGCAGCAGGAGCTGGTTTTTGGATCAGCATATGCAGATTGTACATGTGCAATTGTAGGTTTGTTGTTCCTCTGAGGTCATCGAGATTAACTCAGACCGCATGGAGCTTTTCATTTGCTCTGAAAAGGACAAGGAAGGAGCTTGCAGAGCTTGATTATGACCCATGTTTGTTCATTCGAGCCAGGCCAGGCCAGTTGGGGGGCAGGGAACAGGTCCGGTAATAAGATAAGGAAGGGACTGTAACCATCTACCTGCGCAGAGTAGTCGAATGCCCAGTCCCAGATGTAGGTAGAAAGCATGCAGCTGTTTGTAGGTAATATGTCGCTCAAATCTAGACCTTGACTTCTTTTCTAGGTACTAACCTAGGCTAGGTACGGGCAAGTATCTAGTAGCTTCGAACATGAACGAGATGAAGGGTCAGCCGGGGTTATTTCCAAAACTCGTGGCTTTACGACGGACAGTTGAAGAAGCGGGGGCGCTTAGACATTACCCTGAGCTGGGTTGTGGCTTGCTTTCCCCCCTTCTCACTTGGGTTCTTCATCTTCTTGGCTGTCACTTTCCCTGTCCTGCACTTTCCACTCACGTTCGATTGCCCTTGCACTTGCGATGCACGCGTGGCCGCTAAAATACTGACATCCTTGTAACCGCCTAAGAACCGTTGATGTGGGCATCTCTGTGCAGGGTTCAAGAAGCTGCTCCCCCATTGGCTGCTCCCGCCAGTTTCAAAACTTTGAGTTCCAGTCGGGAAGGAGTACGGCCCATTTCCTACAATTCAAGACTGGAATTGGAACATCCACATTGACTCAACTCGACTCAACTCAACTCAGCATCGATATCGACATCGACATCGACATCGACATCGACTTTTTGACATCCACAATTCCCACTTCACTTTATCCCTGCTGCTGTTGCCAGAATCGGAGCCGGAGGCAGAATCAGAGTCAGACAAATCATCTCATCACCTCACTCACTGTGCTACACCGCAACGCACCTTTGTCTAGGTAGGTATTCTCACCTGGACTTGGCGAGGGACGCTAAGAAATAATGGTAAGACCAGATGCTTGAGGGAATGCTGGCTCACTGGATGAATGGGATGGTTAAGCCAGGCCCCTCCCGTTCCGATTGATTTATGACAACCTCTAAAAAGAGCTTGGGCCAGGGCCAGGGTATCTAAGCTACCCAGGTCCTCCTTAGTAGCATCCAATATTATCTCCATCACTCACTCACCTAATTTTGTACCTGCTCTCTACAGCACATTGGCCCAGCTCATTGCCATGGAGCTGGGTAAATTGTCCCGGCTATGTGCTGGACTCGGCCCAGGATGTGGCATGTCGCCTCAGCCCTCGCCTCTCAGCTTCAACTTTGTCATCTCGGCAACCAAATACTCAATCACTCCTCCCCCAAGGACACAAATTTCCGTTGATCTCGCAACGTCGTAGCCGATCACTTATAGGCAGGGAAAGACCGTATCTTTGGAGACACATGACAGACCCAACACGCTACCGAGTTGCAGCATAGCACACCACAGCGTATCGCAGCCCAGCACAATTCATACCTACAGCACAAGCTCCAGAGCTGCAGTAGCGTTGATCGTAGGGGCGAACTGGGTGACACCATCAGAACCAGCCATTACTGCTGTGCGGTTTTCTTGTCATTAAGAAACTCTCGCGTTGCTTATACTCGTCTCATTTCTGACTTTGCCTGCTTGCTTGCTTGCATTTATTAGACGTGTTTGCTGAGTGTGCTAGGTAGACTAGCCAACCCCGAAGGTTTCGGCCGGAACTTTTAGACGCATTTGCCACATCATCCTGGCAATCTTGCTCCCTTGGACAATCTCAAACCTGGCCAAGCCCAGTCTAGAGCAGAACAGAGAAGACAGACAAGAGTTCTATTTTATCTGGCAAATTGGCCCTGTTCCCTCGCCAAAAGTTCTCTGATTCTTACCGCCATAATGACAGACAACGTCGGCCCCACCAGATGTTTTCAATGAGAGACGAGACGAAATGGAGGACTGAGTAAGCGCGTACTGAAGCTGTCCACGTTGCGACGAGACATGGCGCTGCGACTCAAATATGAAAAGAAGCAATATCAAACAAAGACAGGACCAGCGCTAGGGACCAACATGCGTGTGCATGCACCTTACCTGCCATGACAAAAGCACTTGCTGCACGTACACAGCCACAGCAACGGCTTGAGCTACTCCTAGCTAGTCTCAGTTCCTGCAGCCTCTCTACTCTATTCGTAATAAACAATGGTATCGAGCAATAGAGAGCCACAGCTGGCTAGACCAAGCTCAGCTCTTGACCCTCTCATCAGCAAACGCTCTTGCATGGTTGCCATAGCTTGACCACCTTCCGAGACAAGGTTACGGCCGAGACGGTGCTAATATCTCGACAAGGCTACCATGACAGGGTCGCTCTCTGTGATGGAGCACAGTTTATAGACGAGGGGCGAGCTGGGCCAGCAGGGCGAACGGGACGAACAGCTCACGCAGGGTTGTGGTGTTGGAATCGCCCTCATGCCTGGGCTCGTGGCTCTTGCCAGGACCCGGTTGGTGGGTGATTCCCCGCTGTCTGTCATTGAATTTGTCCTAAGAGTACTTCGAACAAGAATGATACGCTTACATACGTACTGTGTTGCATCGGGACCAAGAGCCTGTAAGTTACTGTGCCAATTCCAGTCAAGTAACACGGCCATATCTCACTCTGTCGTCCTGGGACACACAAACACCTCCAAATGAAGTTCCAGCAACCTATCCAAGGTGCTGTACTGTATTGTACCCAGGCGCCCTTGCAACCCGCAGTTCATACCCGGTCTACTGTGGGCTCCAGCCGGATCCAGGCCTAGAGACCGCACCGCATCGTTGTCGGCACTATCTCCAAATCTGCCGCGACGGGGGAGCTCTGCCCCACCTGGCTCACTCTTTGCCCTCACTCCTTCGCTGTGCCTCACATGGCCGGGGCCATGGGGGGTGAGGGCCCAGCACAATGTAATGTCGTGCGCTCGTGCCCTCTGATAAATCTTGGCTCGTTCATTCGTCTTGATTTCTAACATCTCCACGAGAGCCTCCGGATCGATTTTTGATATTGCTTGTCCGGGGGGGCCTCATCTCTCGTCCTGTTGATTCTTCTTTTCATCTCTTCTCGTCCACCTCCTACATCGGGCAACGGTTGTCCACCTTCTGTTGTGTACCACCGACAAATGGCTACTGGCATGTGTGAGTAACAGGCCAGCGAACTTCTTGGGATAGCGACCAGTCATGCTCAACATCTCAAGCCGATATAACAGGAACTCATTAAAAAATCGACTCTGGACGAGATGAGATGATCTGGTCTAGATATGAGCCGGGATGACTACACTCCACGGGGCCTATCCGACCTGGAGTCCCATCTTGATATTGCCGGCCAACGTCAGCGACCTCACTTTGATGTTGGCACTGGGTCGGAGCCAATTGCACCATCACCAAACCAGCAAGGCCAACATGTCACTCTCAATGCCGCTCTCGAGGTCGATATGCTGCGGCATAAACTCCGCACCCTCGAGAATCTTGTCGAACGTTACGGTACGTCTGATTTAGCCCTCCCTCTCCGAGCGCTTTCAACACTACTTTTGTCTTGCACTTTGGGTGTCTGTTCGGAGGTGTTTTCTGATTGCGTTGTATTGTAGGAATTTCGCCACATGTTCCCTCTCTTTCTGAAGCTGAAGAAGCCCGGGCTCTTCAATATCGTTGCGAATGCCTCGAGTCCGCGTGCAGGCAACAGAGTAAGCCAATGACCCAGCCTTGCTTGATCCATCATGCGACTCGAATCTGCGATTAGAAGAGAGTAAAGCTAACGAAACAGACATGGACGTTGCGCGCACTCTAAAAAGCTCACCTACATTCCCGCCACCACAGGGATATTCATCATGGCTCGATCATCATCTCATGCATCATGATCGAGTAACTCGCTCTTTACCCTTCACAGATTCTACTTCATTGTCTAGCCCCGCGAGGGCCTCTTTTAAGTGTGTGTATGAACAATGCGTTCACTATATTTATGGATTCTCGACCCAGTTAGAACGAGACAATCACCTTCGGTTACACTCGACCAATAATACGAGTGATTCAGAACTATCTATGCGAGCCGAGGGCTCTTCAAACACTTCCGAACTCCCAGGGAAAGGCGGTGGCCCCTTACCTCGGGATCGATTACCACCTATTCACCCGCCTGCCACACTTGTAACGGCTAACCTGCCGCCTCTCCCCTTTCCGACACCATCAACCGCCTCCACAGCGACGAGAAGGGACCACGGCTCGAATTTTTCTTTTTCGGAGCCCAAACCTGTCCTACCGAGAAGTAACGAGGAAACGACTGCTGACCCCCAGTTGCCTCCTTTAAAAAGAGCTCGTGTGGGACATGATCGCCTAAAGTCTATAGGTGAGCTCAAGCTCATCCGCAATAACGATCCTTGTCTACGGTGTCGAGCCTCAAACAGACCAGTAAGTACCTCTCTTCTGGCCGTTTGTCAGATAAAACTGGGTGCTTACCATCCTAGTGTGACGCAAAAAACCCGTGTTCCCGCTGCTCGGGAATGTCTTCGTCTGACTCGGAGATACATTGGAGTGTCCTTGGATGCTACCGTGGGTCTGTCGCATCCCTTGTCGATGTTCTGCTCCAAGGTACGAGTTATTTCCACCAGACTCGCTGCTCTAGCTAATTTCTGAGCAGGGTCGTTTGCTTGGTCACAGCCCCATACGCCACTGACGCCCTCTAATCCCCGTCGCGGAAGCATTAATGATAAAATACTAGCACAGAACCCTACTCTTTCAGCCGCTACAAGACCTGCCTGGAGAGTTGATTTCCAGGATACATTCTGGTGGCAAGACGGAGAGCCTGGTCTTGGTGAAAGTGTTAACCAACCACTAGGATCAGGTTACCACGATCAAGGAGCTCCGCCGCCTGTTCTCCAGCTCATTGCCTCCAGCCCGAGTTTTCGGGGCGTTGCCTTTGACATTCTTGAGATGTTGAGTCTGAGCGGTCAACTTTCTATGTCACGAGAAGAAGAACAGACAGTACATCCCGCTCTCTTCCGTGCAAAACAACTACTACGAGAGATTGTGTACTACGATGCATCTCAGCCGAAACCCCTCCTACGAATCGAAGCCAGTTTTCCTCCCCGGACTCCCATTGATAGTCGTCCTTCGACTGAACGGAACGTGCTCTTAAGGGAATGCACACGACGGTACCTAGTCTCGTTGGATTTCGCAGCCTCAAACTCGCAAAGCATGAGTGTCAGGCAATGGCTAGGAGTTTTTATCTCTCTTTGCATCTTTAGTGCTGTGGACACTATTTTGGTAGACCTTGCTTGGTCCTTCCAGGGAAATGACCCGTCGCAAGCAGGTACAACACCGACAGAAAGACCTGACCAAGTTATCCGAAGCGTGTACCAGGTGCTAGTTTCTCTATTCAGTACTTCGAACGATCCCTTGGCGAACAGCTCTGAATCCGACGACGCAATTGTCCACAACATCGCTCGAATTATCAGGCGCGAATACTGGCCTCCTAGGCACCTTTTCTCAAGCATCGACTTTCTTATGAACCTTGGTGCAGGCGAAACACCCAATTATGGATTTAACGGTTTTGTTATGCCCAGCAGGCCTTCTCTCGGATTCAGAAGCTCAAGAGCCTTATCTTCCGCACAGTCAGAAAGTATGCTTAGGCAACCCTTTTCGAAACCTCCACTGTCGATGGGCTTGGCAAGTTCATCGTCGCAGTATATACCCCCTGGAATACGGTCAGACTTCTCTTTACCAGGTCAATTCACGCTGCCGAACGACATAGCGGGACGTGCTCGCAGACACACAATAAGTGATGACATGTCGCCGTATCCAGAATCGAGACGACCTTCAGGTGGCGAGCCGATCTCACCGTCGAGACTAAAATCATCGTCCCGCCGAACCTCCTTACGGCGTGTGTATTGTGACAAGTGCAATGAGCATCCGGACGGGTTTCGGGGTGACCATGAGCTGCGGCGCCATATAGATGCTAAGCATTCGGCCACAGTGAAACGATGGGTTTGTAAAGAGCCGAAAACCCTGCTGCCTTCTTCGCCGCAGCCCGTCATACCATTATCGAGGTGCAAAGCATGCCTAGCACAGAAGCGCTACGGGGCATACTACAATGCCGCCGCACATCTTCGCCGAGCGCATTTCCGGCCGCATCGGGTAGGCAAGGCCAGTGGCGATTGGCCATCCATGAGTGTTTTGAAGGATTGGATGCGGGAAGTACGCCAATCAGTTGACGTACCCGATGAGCATTTTTCCAGCGGCGAAGACGATATGGACGAATTTCCTTCACCAGCCAACTACAGGGACTCGATGTCGCATCAAGCTCCCATGATTCCTGAAGCCCAACCGCCTGCCGCTGTACTGGGGCCACTTCTCTCTTCAAGTACTGTTGACCAGTCGATACCGATTGAACGAGCCAGCCCATCTCGACGACCCGCCGAAAACCGAACGAGGTGTCCCCATCCAGACTGTGGTCGAGAATTCCGTGACTTGGCCTCTCACATGCTCACACACCAAGAGGAGAGGCCCGAAAAGTGCCCGATTGTAACGTGCGAATACCATACGAAAGGGTTTGCGCGCAAGTACGACAAGAACCGCCACGCCCTTACACATTATCGTGGGTCAATGGTGTGCCCATTCTGCCCTGGAGTCGGAAGTCCTTTTGAGAAGGTGTTTACGCGTGCGGATGTCTTTAAACGACACTTGACTGCTGCTCATCAAGTTGACCAGACAGGTCATAGTAGTGGTCACAGACTGCCTGGAGGCGACGATCCGGTAGGCACAAAAGCAAGGTGTTCCATATGCAAAAACGGGTTCAGCACTGCTCAAGATTTCTACGAGCATCTTGACGACTGTGTACTGGGCGTCATTGTGCCGTCTGGGAGTACGTCAAGTCAACAAACCCGTTTGCAAGGGTCGCCACAATCACATTGATTCGTCACACGGGTCGTTCAACGTGAGAAAACCGCTGGTGTCCAATGAGAGCAGTTGCACGAACGAGACGGTATTGATAATTCTGAGGGAATATGGCGGGACGCAACCTTGATACCACTTATTCTTTTATAACTTCTTGTTCCTTTTGTCAAATTTAACATCATATAGAGATCATGTGCCTGGCGCACGGGGAGACCGGACTTTCGATTCTAGATACCACCAGAGTTTTGGCGGCAGTCGCCGCGGTTTTGTCTTTTTTTGTATTATGATCACACAGAATTGGATATATAGTATATCGATATACAACAAGCAGTTTCGAGGCTGAGCGAAAATCAATTACACAGCATTACTTTAATGAAGCCATGGGACAATGGATGAATTCTTGATAAGATGTTAGTGATATTATGTATGTATAATACAGCACAGATTAGATAGGTATGAGTGAATACTGTTCTATTTTGGCTGCGTAGTTATTCTACCACAAACTGGGTGCCCATGAGTTTTGTATCAAAGCGATACAGATAAAACTTTTGGATTCTCTATTAAAACTAACAATGCATTTAATACCGTTAACGCCAAACCCATGCTATCAGCCGCACGCTCCAGTAAGATGACATATGTATGTGATAGTGATTCGTCCGAATGCCATCCAGCAGAAAAGACGCAATTATTTCGTAATGGAATCATCAGAAGGCGCGGCTGTCTTCTCGTTCACCGAGTCTACCATGAGGGACTCGTCTCGTCGACCAATGTGCTTGGGGCTAGAGCGCTTGAAGAACTCGTGAATCTCGGGAGAGAACTCGCCATCTTCGGGCATGGCGCCCTCAGTCTCCTTGGGGCCGCGGTTGGCCTGGACAAGCTCCCACTCGGCGCGCATGTCCTGGACCTTGGCGCGCCAGTCAGCCTCGGGGTCGTAGTTCTTGCCAAGGCCGCGGAGACGCTCCCAAAGAGACAGATGGATAGGGTTAACAGCGACACCGTGGTACTCGCTCTCCTTGCCATCACGGATGTAGTGCCAGCGACGCTCCTGCTCCTTGAGGTCAAGGCCAGTGGTGTCAGGGAGGAAAACCCAAGTGAGAAGCATGCCAACGAGACCGAACCAAGGGACGACGTAAAACTTGGTCTGGTCGTCGATGTAGTTGTAGAGAACGGAGGCAAGAAGGGCACCAGATTTACCAATACAGGCGGAGAAACCGTGGGCTGTGGCGCGAACGGGTGTAGGGAAAACCTCACCGGCGACGAGGAAGGTAACTGAGTTGGGGCCAAACTGGTTGAAGAAAGAGGAGATGAAGTACATGGCCTGGAAGGAGTGGATTCCGGCGGGGCTGGTGTAGTAGTCGTACTTGAAGGCGGGGATGACGAACATCAGGAAGCACATGAAGAAGCCAACCTGCTGCATCATCTTGCGGCCGTACATCTTGTTGTCAATAAGCAGGGAAGCGAGGTAGTAACCAGCCAGAGAAACGGTGATGTTGACAAGGTTCCAGGTCCAGGTGGTGAAGATGGAGTTGCTGTCGGGAGAAATGACCTTGATGAACTGGCCTTGGAAGAGCTTATTGCCGTAGAAAAAGACATCGTTACAGAACCAAGTACCAGAAGTAGCCAAAAGGCGGCCGCCAAAGTTGGTGAAGCAGTGTCGAAGGGCGTTCAGATCGTAACCAGTGACGTTTGAGCGCTTCTTGGCCTCGGCGAGCTGCTTACCAGCGCTGCGCATGCGGTAGGTACGGTAGTAAAGAAGCCAGAGCGTACCAATGGCGGGGAACGCAAAGGACAGGCGGAAGGTGTACTGTGCGGCAGAGGCGCTGTAGGGGGGCGAGGTCTTTCCGTTGTTGAAGATGGCGAGGAGAGCAATGAGGACGACCTGGTTGACGAACTGACCCCAACCTTGCATCAGGAAAGCTGTGGTGACACGGCGACCACGGTGTAGACGATCCTCACGAGTGGAAATTCTGCCGCCCGAGGAAACACCCTCGAGAGATGAGGTAGCTGTAATGGGGTACTCGCCACCAACGCCGAAACCGTAGAAGAAGAGAGACCAAGCGTAGCAGATAACCCAGCCCTGAAGAGTGAGTCCCCAAGAGGCAGTGAGCATGAGGAGACCGATAAACATGATGGCGGCATCTTGAATAAGACCCCATCGTCGACCAACCCAATCACCCATAACCTGCAGAGAGTCAAAATCAATTCATAAAGAGCAATATTTGAAGTTGCCAGTGACATGGCGGGGGAAGACTTACACCAACGACGGCCTGGCCAACCATGATACCGATAATCTCAAGGTACGTCACAGAGGCAACCCAGTTGTGAGCGCAGGTAGTGGGCTCCTTGCCCCAGCAGTCAGGCCAGACAGCTTTGAACAAAGGTTCGAGGTTACCAATGGAGAAGAGGACATAGCCCTCAAGACCAAGACCAGCACCGGGAATGACAGCATGGCGAAAGTACCAGGACAAAGGCGATAGAGGGTCTTCCTTGAACATTGACCAGGCAGTTGCGGCCTCTTCCTTGGCAGCATCGTTGTCGACCTTTGAGACGAAGCGATAGCGCTGTGACAAAGGCAGGTCGGCCCAGTAAACGCCATCCTCGGTGTAGGAATCATCTGGACGTGTTACATGGCTGAAGATGCGGCGCTCATCAGCAGTAGCATAAGCAATGGGCTCGTTTGAGATTTGCTCAGAGTCGCTGTCCACAGGACCGTGCGGAACAGGGATCACTGCCGGCACCGCAGACTCGTGATGCCTGTGAACCATTGTGACAAAAGACGTGGTGAGCCTTTAGCTAAGAAACTATTTTGCTGATGATGTTTGATCAAGATGTAGGAATTGGAATATGCCTGCAGTTTTGCAGGAAGGCGGTTAGTTATAGGTTGAAGGAAGTATGTGTATCCCAAGCCAGGCGCAAAGGAGGAAAAAAAGTTTTATACTGGAGGCAAAGAAGAGCCGAGGGGCCCAATTTTGATGGGGCGGGAAATGAATCGAGAGATTCAAAGACAGGGAAATATATTGTCTTATTTTGGATCTGGGAGAGGAAAGTCAAGAAGCCAATTCCAACGATTTGAGAAGGCGAGGAAGGGCAGTATTTGAACTACATGAGAAGCGATATGTACAGCAACTAGAGCTCGGATATTCAAAACGACAGTGACGAGCATCGTGAGAGAAGTTCAACCAGTAAGAAGGCGCAAATTAACCTCGTGGGAGAACGTGTGGACAAAAGTCGATCTCTGGGGTCGATTAGGAAAGGGTGTGCGCGTGTGTATAGCTCCCATGCGCGATCTGTTGCTTGACCGAAAGAGCATGTCGCCGCCGCCTCGTTTCTAGCATTGCCATTGCCGTGTACATCTTTCTGTATCAGGGACCAGAGAAACAAAGCGGGCTATGGGTTTAGCTCTGGAACTATGTAGGAAACGCCAGGGGTGGGTGACATGGCATTGGATGGTCAATGGGACATTGCATGCTTTGATCCGTCAGAAGAAGCAGAAGCAGAAGCAGATGCAGATGGGTGGGGCCCTCCAAATGTCTGGATCGTCTACCAAGGTACGTATAATCGTATCATGACCATCAAACGCCGAGAGATCCAGGCCAGATCCTGACGACGACAGTAGCTATCAAGATATACGGAGTAGAGTCAAACAGTCAAACCGTGACAACGTTTGGAACGAACGAGGCAGAAGAAAGACGCTGATGGCAACCAATTATGAAACATGATCTAGATTAGATAATCAAAATAATGACGAAATGTAAGTCCAAAAATGGCTGACGTATTCATTCTGCGCCGTTCCCGTTGAAAGAGTTTATGCTTCAAGGCGTATTCAGACTTTATATGAGGCACGTTTTTCAATTCTGATCCGCCAGAGGCTGGATAGACTCTGTACTTTCTTATTTGGAGAAGGAAAAACCTGGGGTTCATCTATTGGTAATGGTAGTCGTACACGCGAGCAAAAAAAAAAAAAAAAAAAAAAAAAAAAAAAAGTAAAGAAAAGGAAAGTGAAAAAAAACGTCAACTCTGTATATTACACAACAACATTAGTCGAGTAAGTGCAACCCGGCTAAAACGGCATCTTCAAGACCCGCCTGACCTTGCTTCGGCCGACGCCGTTGGCAGGAACAAGGCCGATCTCTGCTTAGAAAATATCATTCTGAGGGACTTGACCCTCGATTAAAAATGGATCTGGATCCTTTTGTTGAGAGATAATTCGGCCATTGAGTTTCTGTTACCATGCAACTGTAACACGCACACCACAATGCGGCCCTTTTCCTGTTTGTGGTGGTTTTAATATCAATCAAATCACCTTCTATCACTTCTTTTTAACCTTCGGTGTCCTATTTGAGACACCGGGAGATTATTTTGAGTTCTGGCCGGTTTCTTTTATGCTTCGTTATTAATCGTCGTTTCTTTTCTGCTGCCAAGATGCTTTATTATTTATTATCTGCTATTCCCATCATCCCGGCTCGGCGCTGTCGGGAGCCGCAGATGGGTGGCTCGGCATTGGCGTTCTAAGCCTAAACAGGGCAGAATTATGAAAAAATTCGATGCACGAGATAAAAGGTGGAACCGACTCTGTGGAGTCCTTCTCAACGACATCCACCTAATGCGGAAAGAAGTCGTGTGATGCTGATGTTGACAGAGAATTCAATCAAATTCACTCATTGACTCTTCGCTTCTGAACTCGCTTCACATGCTAAAGTCATGCCTATCAAACTTAAATTATTCTTTTCTTAATAAAGTCAACGCTAAAGAAAAGCTTATGTTTTATGCTGTTTTAATCATGTCAATCAATCCTACGCTATCTTGATCCCCTCGCATAAACAGGCCATGATTGCTTCTCAGTGACTACCTACCTCCGAGCAGCGTTCTTAAAAGTCTAGCCCGTTGTCGACCCCGCTTGTCTTTTCAACACCTACCCTTGGACCCTGCGGCACTTACGTACAGACTACTGTGTACTCAGCTCATGTCAACTTACTACTAGCTTGCCATGCATGCAAGACGCCCGCCATCCACACCTGAGGCGTGTTTTGATGCTGAATGCTTACTCGTCCGCATCCAGCAATTGATCGTGTGCTCGCTCTCAATGCTCACTGAAAGATTACCTAGTGCTAGGCTTTGCATATCATCTTAAACAGCCAACATCTCAATTCTCAGCCCGTTTCAAGGATATCACCAAACTCACACCCCTCTTCTTCCTCTTCATCTTGCCTGGCCTTCCCCATCCCATAATAACCATAACAAATATGCATACTAACTAAGTTGGTGGATAATACTCCAGCACCCCCAATCCCCTCTCCCCTCCACATTCTATCCTCCTGACACTCTTGCAGCTGGGGTTAATCATCTCTGATTTGCGCTTCATGTTATCTCGACCGAAACTTCAATCCTAACTACCAGCCCCTCCATTCTTCTCAGTGTCGTTGTTGGTCCAGGGCAAGCCCCCTCCTTTCACCTCTGCTTTCCGAGAAATCAAGACATACTCTGGCGCCAAAACAGTGCTTGTCGTCCCTCTCTCTTTCTCTTTCAGCATACAGGTTCTTGTTGTTATCAATCACTATTCTTGTCTTCAACTTTTCTCAATGCATAAATACTACTATCATGTTAAGTTACTAAGCTGACCGAGTGCGACTAAATTACTGCGGGTAATAGACACCCTCGCTTCAAGTCCACAAAGATGTGTTTGCATTGCCCCAAGACCGTCAAGGGCATCTCAGCGCTCGCAGTTCCCGCCTCTTCTTCCTCTTTCATCACAACTGCAAAGTCGAGTCAATGGGGTGTTTTTTTTTCTTCTTCTTTTCATTTTGCTGTCTCCAATTCCATAATACACTACTCGTGTTTATATGGCTCAGGGTCCAAGGAGTGTCGGGACATAGGGTCATGCGAGGAGGCTCCAGTTTCTTTTATGGCGGAAAACTTGAAGCATCCCGCGTTCAGTCTGTTCGCCGCATGGCATCTCCCCTTCCGCATTAGCACATCTGCGCCGAATGCTGCTCGTGTGCGACGCAGCCATCCTCAGTGCAACTTGACTCAGTCTCCGCTCAAACGCCACGCTGCATTTCATAGATACAAAGAAAAATCGAGACGGGGAAGAAATCAATAAAAAAGAATGCTTCAAAACAGCTCCCTCCATAGAGTGGCCAGGTAGTTTTCTGGGTTCGCCCAACTACGGGTTAATGTTATTTCCCGATCGGTCTTGGTGTTGCTTCCTCGTCTTCACCGCAATCACCATCTCTCGCAACGACCGGGGGGCGGGGCGTTGCATCTACGCTGCCAGTTCCATCCTTGTCGGTTTTGGGTGTAATATCCTCAACTTTCGTCTCTGAATCAGGAGGTGTACGTGCTGTAGTTTCGGTGACAATTTCACCATCCAGGATTCCCGTTTCCATCTCCTTCGACGGTGTCGTCACAACTTGGGTTACAGCTTCAGGCGTGCTCTCTGAGCCCACCGTCAAGCTGTCGTGACTGTTCGCTCGCATCATCTCTATGCCGAGCTTGGAGCTGGGTAGACTGGCTTTACTCAGCATCTGCTGGCTATTGCGGCCATGATGTTCATGATGTTTCTCTCTGCCACCTCCCAGCTCTTCATCCTCGTCATCAGCCGATTCAGTGCCTTCCAACATTCTTTGTTCAGAGCCTTCACGCTTCACTTTCACCTTGTCATTGCCTCGGGGGCGGTGTTCCATCTGGGCTGGGGCGGACTGCTGGGCCACAAGTTGAGGAATCGTCTTTTTTGTAGGCTCATGGGCATCGTTATTTTCAGTAATATTCAAGCCCCCTTCGTCCCATTCGTTTGTGCCCTTGCGGCTTACGACGACCGGTAACTCTTCGGTCGTCACTGACTCCGAATCACCAAACAAAGACGACGTAATCGAATCTTCGCGGCTGGACATCATCGCGGCTCCCAAGCGGCCAGCAAAAATGGACGAGCCCGATGTAGGGCTATCTTCAAGGCGAGAATTAGCCTTGCGAATTCCCAATGGAACCGGCCGTGGCATACCCGATGGGTGCCCTGGTGATTCAGGTCGCCATCGACACAGGCCTTGCAGGACTTCAGTGAGCTTGGAGGAACTGATTGGCTTCTCGATCAGCGAGTCGAAGTAATGTGGTGCTTGGAGCTCCTTCAGGTAAGCCGTGATCGCCACGATGGGCGTGTGAGAATTGGCATTCTTGGTCTCGCGGATCATCCGTGCTACGTCAGCGCCGTTGATCTGAGGAAGCTGATATTCAAGGAAAATGACATCAAACTTGATTTCACTCATTGAATACCGAACAGCTTCCGATCCATTCGGCACAGAAATAGTTCGACATCTCAACTTCTCGAGCAGTTTTTCCATGACCATACGAGATACTGGGTGATCCTCACATATCAGCACGTCCAATGGTCGGAAAGTAGGTCCTTCATCAAAAGCAATCTGTGAAAGTCGTCTTGAGCTCTGCCTGCGCCTCTGCACTCGGAGAAGGGCGTTATGCTTCTCGCCTTCATTATCTGACGAAGATGGAGACATATCAAAGACTTGACTTCTCCTGTTCCGATGATGATGCATTATGTCAGAAGCAACAGGGCTGCCATCTTGAGACTGTGAACCCACAGTGAGCGACCTTGAACGTCCTGCGGATGAATTGCTCGACTGTCTTGGAGTCGATATAGTCTTCTGAGGCGACAAAGACAATGGAGGTGGGGCTGCGCTGCGAGTCTGCACAGGAGACGATGCCGCGACTGTGGTGGCGGCCTTTTGTAGGCTCGGCGGCACCTTGGGTATCTCAAATGCTGAACTTGGCTGCAGAGTCGCAGCGGTTGATTGATGCGACAGGCTGGACGAGTTACTTGATGCCTTCCGTCGGCCTTCGGCTCCTTGCCCCGCAACAAATGACACAAGTAGTGGCGACGAAGGCTGAGAGGCCCGGTTAGGGGATGCGCTCACATGACCAAAACCAGAGGGCGACTGTGCTCGGTTCGTCGCTTTAGCATTGGAAATAGTTCGAGAAACAGGGTTGGATAAGACAGGACTGCCTTCGAGAGATGGTCCCGGTGACACAACGCTGCTCACCGCTCCAGGGCTGGTGGAGGTTCCTTTGCTCTGCGCAGCCAGCGCCTCAGCTCTTAACTTTTGAATCACGTCCTTGTTAGCCTTCTCCAGCACAGGAAGGTTTTTGAACGAGAAGGAGCCAAAATCATCCATCGCGACGGGCTCGCTCAGACGTCTCGATTTCAGATCACGGACGTGAGGTGGGATGTGCAATGGCATGAGTTTCCGATTGATGGAATTGACCTGTGACCGAACCCGAGAAAGAGCATCGTGTGGTCGCTCGGCATATTCAGAACCCGCTGCCGAAGATTGAGGAGACGCTTGGTCTTCCATTTCCTCAGCAAACGACTGCAGGACGGCTCCTCTGGCATCGAAATATTCTGTGTCTTCAGGATTTTCGGGTTGTGGCACAAATTGAGCCTCGTCTTCCAAAAGTGTGTCCCAATTGACATCCTGAAACCAAGGGTGGCTGCGAATCTCGTCGCCTCCAGATGGGAACTTATCTTCCCGGTTGGAGCCCAGTCGCTGGTGAGGCTCCATGCACAGTAGCTTGTTGATCAAATCTTTAGCTTCCTCGGATATCGGTTCGCATTCATTCTCATCTGGCCATTGTATCTTCCGTGCAAGAATATTCTCAAAAACATGCTCGGCCTCACCAGCGTGAAAGGGAGGGATTCCGTAGAGAAATTCGAAGAGGATGCAGCCAACAGACCACCAATCGCTTGTCTCATCTTGCTTGTCGCCCTTGATAGTTTCCGGAGCCAGATAGTCGGGTGTCCCTACAAAACGCCGGTTGGTGTCTTCAGGGTTGAACAGAGCCATTGGTGGAGGCATCATATTGGAGAGTGGTAAAGAGTTTCTGGCATGGCTATCCATACTCATCCTTGAGCCAACACTCATGGGCAGATCTGGTGAGCCCTGTGCAATCACTTCCTCATCTAGCGGTGACTTGATACTGTTGGCTTGAGATGCCGTCTCAGCGTCATTCAAGGAAAAGTTGGTGACCATGCGGGCCAGCGTCTCGCTACCGCCGCTGTCACTTCGGTGAGTGCCTGATATTCGGCGAGGTTCCTGACCAAGGCTGAAATAAGACGGTTGGGCTAAGCTGCCAACCTCTGGGGTCATTTGAGGTGTCTGGCTGGGAGACTGAGTATGGCCATGCAAATCGAGAGATGCTGATCTTGAAGATGCAATAGATGCAGATCGAGCAAAAGGACCTTGTTTGAGTAGGTCTGGTGTTCCGTCCGAGATCTCGCTGTTCAACGCGCGCTTCTGTCGGCCAACTAATCCCAGTCGCGAGAGACCAAAATCCGTGAGCTTCAAGTGACCCTTTTGATCAATAAGAAGGTTATCTGGTTTCAAGTCGCGATGGATAATGCCGCGACTATGAAGGTGCTCGACACCCAAGACGACCTCGCCAAGATACTTCTTTACCCATTCCTCGGGAAGCCCTCCAAGAACCTTGATCAGAGACGCGCAGTCACCGCCGTTAAGATACTCCATCACAAGATAGAGGTAGTCTTTGCTTGAGAACGTCCAGTAAAGCTTGGCGACAAAATCACTTTCTCCTTGCCACATCATGATGGCACGCTCCGCCTTGACGTTGCCAACTTGGTTCTTGGCCACCATGTCAGCTTTCTTAAGGACTTTGATTGCAAAGTATTCTCCTGTGGACTTTTTCTTTGATAAATATACACTACCGAAAGCACCCTTGCTGATAGGCTTAATGATCTCGAAATCTTTGATCGATGGCTGGGTCGGCCGTTGTTGTGGAGGAGCTTGGTTGGCGCCCAGGCGAGGGGATGGTGGCGGCTTCATGACAAAGTCAGATATGGCTGCCGACGACTGTCTACGATGGTGTCTGTGGCTGTGGGTAGCAGGAGAGCTAAAATCACTACCAGGAAGCATGGGCGATGCTTCTGGGGACACCAGACCCTCCTGGGACAGTGGGAACCCTCTGGCTTTGATCCGTAAAGGGGAAGATGGTTGCCCAGGGCGGGAAGGCGACTCCTGACGGTGAGGGGACGAAGTACCGGGCAAGATGAGACTTCTTCGGTGACGTCTCCTTGTACTAGCAGCACGCCGAAGATCGCCAAATTCTGAGATGGGCGACTCAGTCCTGGGGGCATTGCGAGACGTAACTGAAGACGACCTAAAGCTGCCTTCGCTATCCAGGAAATCCCCTTCCATGTAGATGGAGTCTCTACGGGTATCACGAGCTTGAAATCCCAGATTGCTCTGCCCACCAAAATGCGATCGAGGTGTTGGGCACTCCTTTGGACTGCTAGATCTAGTAGAAGCCACAAAGGAGGTTGGTCGAGATCGATCCCGGTTTTCGGACAGACTCATTTGACGAAGAGCCGTGGCCAACACGGATGGACTGTTGAGGGGTCCCGCCAAGCTTTCGCTATCCCGTTGTTCGAATTGCTGAGGCTCGGGCGCCAACGGTTCTGCAGGAATATCTTCATCTGCTTCCACAGCCTCGTCGCATGAATCGCACTGCTCGTATTCAGAGTTCAGTCTTCCTTCTTCAGTTGAGTCGGTCAGCTCGCCATTGGCTATGCGAGCTGCCTTCCTCAACGCCTCGTCAATGCAGTCCTGAACAAGGCATGCGAGCTCGATACGGATACGCTCAGCATATTCAATAATCTTCCTGTGGCGAAAAACGGCGTCGACTTTGGTTCTGGCAACCTTTTCTGTATCAGCACACAGTAGAGCCAAGCCTTGTTCTTGTTCAAGTGTGTTTGTGCTTGGCGACTGCCATTGTAGAACCTGTGATATGCGTGATTCAGACTGCGGCGATTGCGTTCTAAATTCGCCATTGTTTTGTTGTGTTGTGGACTCCTTTATGGCAGGTGTGCTGACCTCAATGGCAGTGTCACAAAGATCCATCAGTAACTCTACGATTCGAGCTTGCGGTCGACGAATAGCGAACGAGCGTGCCCTAGTATGCCCAAATCCTCCAGAGCGTTCCCGAGATCGGGGTAGTGAGCTACCAGGAGATGACTGTGTTGACGGCGGTGGTCCAATTGGCAAGCCTTTGTACTCAGCAACGGGTACAGGGGTTTGATCACCGGCTAGAGACCGGCTCTTACGGGCCTCCAGGGCATCGAGGACCTTGACGATCGAATGTCGATGTTCAGTCAGGTTTTCTTGGGCCATCTGGACGTCCATCTCAGCCCGATGTTCTTGAAGACATAAATCAGTGTGTTTCTCAAACCACCAGCGAGGAATTTGGCGTTCGCAAATCCGGCAGAGGACAGGCGGTGGAGGTTCTAATTGTTCAGGATCGTCGAGCCCGCTCTCGGCGAGTTGGGTCAAATAACTCGCCAAAACTTCAGCACCTGAGCCTAGCGAATCGACAATAACGTTGGGTAGGTCGATCTTGATCTCTCGTGGAGCAACCCAGGGACGGATCATCCACATTGTCTGCGAAGAAGATCAGCACTGCAGATAAAGGTAATGTTCAAAAATCTTACATGGCTCTCACCACCCGAAACACTATCATAGACCATAATTCCCTGAGCTTCGAGGTCCACGACATGGAACGGCTGGTCTTCGGGATCATGTTCAAGGTCGTCAATAGGTAATAGCTTCGAAAGGGGTCCCAGTTGGACTGTAAATCGTACTCGATGACTTCGAGAGTCATCCTTCTTCATAGATTCGACAGCTTCGAAAAAGACGTTCTTGTTGTCGCTGACTATCAATTCTGAGATATGTGCGCCATTGACAGTCTCAAACTGAGTGCCCACGACGTCGGTCCAGGAAGGGCTGACCCATTTAATAGTTCCATCGAAATTGAGGTCGACGATTGTATTGAGAGTCTGTTCCGCGGCTTCGCGAAGCTCCTCACGTTCTTCCCTAATGTCCTGACTCAAGGACCTCTCCATGGCAGTTGTTTGTTGTGCCCTCAAAGAGGCAACTGCTGGGGGCGCCAATGTGGCGCCGGACGGAGAGTCCATGAGTATCTCGAAGGTAGAAACCACTCAGACCAGAGACGGGTGAAGTAAATCGATGTTTCGTAGATATCGTCGAATCGTGGTATAATGGGCCGGTGCCGGGGGTTAGAGTAGTTGCGGACTCTAGCAGAAGCACAAGTGGGGAGACTCGGGGTCTGGCAAGGGCGCCAGAACTATAAACCCGCGAGACTCGGAGACATGACTGAGGGTTCGACAGCGAGGAGGATCTCTGGCTGACGCTGTGCAAGTCTTGGGTGTAGGCTGTGAACAGGAGTCGGGATCAGACGGCCCTGAAGCCTCGAAGCCCAAAGTCGACTTGTACGAGCGAGATTTGAGGTGCAGCCGAGAGAACAAGCCAACCGTGATGGTACCGGACCGTGCCTTGACCGTGACCGTAGGTACCTGCTTGGTCTAGTCGATGCGAGGCGAGACGAGACGATGCGAGGTGAGGTAAGGTGAGGGTTGGAGAGTCGAATTGATGGTACAGTCGATGGATCTTGTTCTTCCCCTTGTCCTTGAAATTGGTAGAACAGGGCGCAGGAATCGCTGTTAAGGGAAGAAAGACAACGTTTGGCCCAGGTGAGCCATGGCGCCTTGGGGCCATCGTGAAGGCGCGTTCTTCTCATGATACAATAAGCGGGGGAAGGCACTGCTTGACCAATCACCGCCCACCATCTCCGGGAATCAAGCTCCTAGCCCTGCTAAGCTGCAGCATTGCGGGTATGGATATCTTTTTTTTTCTTTCATCTTACAGCGCTCTGCGTCTAGGGAGAGCCTAGAGGGTCCCCATGGTACGGAAGCTACATGCGGGCGGGCAGCCACCTAACTTACCTAGAGCGCGGGCACAGTTGGTGCCCGCTTTCCCATGCCCGTCTCTACTAAGGTACTCTACCTAATCCAATACGCCTGGTTGTTCCTGAACCCTGTTGATATCGGCCGAGTAAATAGGTGTTTTGCTTCTTCTTCTTCTTCTTCTTCTTCTTCTTCTTCTTCTTCTTTTTCGTCTCCTTCGTTCTATTATCCATACTGAATCGATCCATTATCGTTCGCTATGTTCGCCAAAACTCGAATTATGCACGACGCGAGTGATTTTCTATTGTCCCATGTTTCAGCCAAAGATCCATGGGATGGAACCATGTTCACGTCACTCGGAGCCCCTCTCTGCGCACCTATGTTACCTGAGTAGCGTACCTGAGGGGTGGAGGAAAAGAATGCGCAATGCTCTTGTGAAAAGAAACGACTCGGTATCAACTATACCCTTGTATATATTTCTCTTGAAAAGACATGAGTCATTGTACGGAAGTTGACTTTTTGTTGTTTCTGAGAAAGACGAGACATTTCTGCTCTGAATTCCTGGTGTCCTCAAAACTAGATCTGATACCTATATAGATAGATACCTTGCTTTATGGGTAAGTAAGTAGCTTAGTAGTAGGTAGGTATGTGGGTAGGTATGTGGGTAGGTGACAACGGCAGCCAGGATGATGAAAGGGTGGAGGATTGGTTGGTTTGGCTTCCGAGCTGTTATCAGTCTTTGTGAATAGGCTCTTCTCTAGTTTCGTTTTCCATGGATTGTCGTCTCACCCTAGATGTATCAATGGCCCCCCTTCCCGCTCATACTCTTACTTTTATTACTTTCTCATCCAAGCTTGTATGCCATGTTAGAGAACAAGGCGACGTAGATGAGACCCATGTGTGACTGAGAAAAGGTGTTGATCCCCTCCCCCACGTGCCATGGGTAAAAACTGGTAGACTGAGTTGCTTGATTGTCCTGTCTGTACAGTGACTTGGAATCTAGAGGTAGATCGAGATTCTATTCCCGACCCATCCTTTGCCTTTAGTAGAGGTAACCGAATGCCTTTGACAGTGTGTACTATTAAAAGTGGAAGGGTTGAAAAGGGAAAACTCCCTTCGTCAGGTGCCTCTCTGGGGCTGCAGCACAAACACTAGACTAGAGAGTGTACTGTAGAACTGATGATCTCAGCCTGCTGTGGTCGCATCCCCAAATTCCTTTAACCAATCGATGTATTTTGATACACGAGACGCAACTGTCTCACCCGGCCTGGAGGGGAGGGGGGGGGGGGGCGCAGACGGGGATGCAGGTGTAGAAAGGCGAATTTATTATTAATGTTACTTGCATCCTGTGCCTCGGTGATCAGATTGCCATTGGAAAGACCATGGAGGCTACAACACAGCGGGCGTCGCGGAAACGGGCCGGGTTCGATGAAGCATTGACAGGTTGTAGTGGGAAAGGGCAAAGCAAAGCACTTGGTTAAAAGTACACAGACAGACATAACTTATGCTGCTGTTTTGGCATTGCTCGCCAAGCCTTGGCTCTTGGTCTACGATTGTAGATACGACTTTATTTTCACTATCATAGCCAAAACATGAATGAAATATCATCATTCCTACCTATCTACTAGTATATTGATCTTCAGTGACAACAGCGTTCCTCAAACCTGTACCAGGCTGTATCTACCTTGCTGGGTAGGTAGTTGGTGCACTGTCTCTCGCATTGTGTGGTCCCTATTTGCATGTCTAGTGTCGCGATGAATTATGGTGTCAAATTTATCGCTTGGTCACAATTACCCATCCATCCATCCGTTCATGGCTGTCTGTGTCCATGGGGAACAGCATGATGAATAGCATAGATCACATTCGCTTACTACATTAGTAATATGTTTACTCTATGCATCCGCTAGGGCTTGGCTGTTTTGCTTTGCTTCCGTGTCTAAACGAGTCACGTTGTTGTTGCTGATGTTACTATTCGCTCTGTTTTGACCTCAACCTGAGCTCCAGGGCAACAGCCTCATCTCACTCTGCCTTGTGCATGGGACCAACAATACGATTCACTGCAGTAGTGACATGATCTTTGTACAGGTTGTACCACGAATTAAGTTGGCTCCCTAGGTAGGTAGTACTGTAGCTTGTTAGTGAAGTGCGACCCTATAAGCTCGTTCATTAGGCCCTGGCCAGGGGTGGTGTACATACCGACCGCTTCACTCGACGCCATGACTGACGAATGTTTTTCTCTTTTGGGGGCTGCAGAAATATGTTTCTTGCATTCGCATCAACTGCCGGTATCTGGCTCTCTCCTTCTAAGCACATGTTTTCATTTGGCACACCTTACAGCCGGTACCCACCCATATACTTGGACGCCCGCAATAGATAATCAGGGACAAAGATATCACGACACACGGGGTGGCATCGTTTAGGATGCCCACTTCAAAAGTGAAGCCTTTAGGCCACCGCTATATATCTCGGAAGTTCAGGCTTACACTGCTCTGCTGTCCTACACAAACCTTCCATACAGCCACTTTCCATGCTTGAGTGATTGTGCGATCGCCCTCGCTAAAACTGATCGGCTGTTGACCTCAGCCAATATGACTATACAGTAGGCTCATGTTTGAAAACGTCTCTGGCCATGACGGTCATTCGCGCCAGTACCACTGTTATCTGAAGCAAATGGATGACGGAATCCTGGGGCCTTGTTTGTCGTTGACTTATTTAAATATGCTAGGTGTTTCACTTTTTGTCTTTTGAATATGAGGATTTGATGACAACGCAAGTAGCATCCATCGTCAAGAGTGTCTCAGCTTCAATTTGTTCTAGTCATGGTCTCAAGCCTTCTCGTTAGCACGCATGCTGTAGCAACGCTCAAACACAGATGGGTGTCTCCATAAATAGCCGAGAAATTCTCTATTCTTTGTCATGTAATAACATTGCCAATCGACTACTTATAGATATTATTTCCAGCATGTTGGATGGAGGGTATGAGCCGGTTGATAAGACAGGACATAAAAAGACAAATTAGTAGAGAATCTATATGTAGAGGTAAATTTATCTATCTTTTATCTTCAGTTAGTATGTATATGCTATATGACAGTGATAGATGTAACTGTTCAAAAGCCAATGCCCGAGTGACAGCGGATATACTCGAGACCCGAACGACCGCATCGGGATTCGGTTAGGGGAGTCTAGGCGGAGAATATGGGGCCGTCCACTCAAATCATCAAAGTTGGTTCTCATTTCTCAGTTTACGGACATGAGCACTACAGGTCAAGAATTTGAATTCAACACTTAGGGTACCTGTTTAGAGCATGAGAAAATACATATTGACTCTCTTCTAATTGTCTAATTTATGAGACCTATTGTCTTTTTTCTTTTCCTTCCGACTTTGTCAAATCCATGGTAGCTGATATACGAAGTACTTTGGACTGTAAGTGTTCAGTGGTTGTGACCCAACGATTCATCATTCCGAACCACTGCAGCTTCAGCTCACTTAGGTATCGTGGTATCTTACTTATCACATTAGGAGTTTCCGTCACAATAGCACAATATGTAAAGAAAGTACCTTATACCTAGCAGGTAGATCGAGTGACACGATTCGGCCGTAACGACTCATACATAGTCATCCCAAGTCCTGACTAATCCATTGATGATTTGAGTTGCCCCGGTTCTAGAATCGCGCCCTTCAGACATTCCCGTCTTACGAAGCAACCAGCCTCCGGCTTGTCCCTACAATTATCTCAAATCATCACCTCCAGCAAACTAACTACCTACCTACCCATACCTAGACCAGCGGCTGTGCACTGCGCTGCGCTAGTTTGGCGCGTCCTAATCATCGGGCCCTGCACAAATTATCTGGTCCGAATTACCTACGAGGAAAGTGACGACACTCGCAGTGCTTCTAAGAGCGGCACGCTATTAGCTTCTTGACTTGACTTTTTCATCATCGTTCTGCATCTTTACACTTTCATCCGTCAGGAAGGCCTCATAACTGCCGGCCTATCTTGTGCCCAGTCATCGTAACACTGATACAGATAGGTGTACGGCAGACAGGCGCCCAGTCAGTCATGTCTGTCTTTAACAACCACCTTGCGGGCGCAACTGAGCGCTCTTTCTCGTCATCGCTATCACCGGACCGAATCATCGCAAGCTCAGAGGATGATAACACAGCAGCCCTCGACCCCGAAATCTACAAGAGTCTGACCGACAAGAGAACAACGCGTGGTATGGATCCAGACCTGGACTTGAACATCCCCCGTTCAAAATGCTAACCCGCAGTATCAGATGGAAACCCACCCAAGAAGCGAGGTCCCAAACCCAATAGCAAACCTGCTTTGACTCGTCGTCAAGAATTGAATCGTCAGGCCCAGCGGTACGTCGTCTCGAATGAAGCAAGACCTTACTTCTGACATGATATCTTGACTACCAGAACACACCGAGAGAGAAAAGAGCTCTACATCAAGGCCCTGGAAGATGAAGTTCTCCGCCTCAAGGAGGTTTTCAGCAATGTTTCCTTGGATAGGGAGAGACTGGCTGATGAGAACAAACGCTTGCGGGACACCTTGGCACAAGCTGGGCTTCAACACAGCAGCCCACATGTGGCGGGCAGTGCCACCAGTCGAGGCTTCGACTCTAACAACACGGGATCCTCTCCTTTAACTTCACAATCCACCGCTCCGTCGGTTGGCTCACCTATGCACCTTCCTCCTGCCGTAAACCAAGGCTTCATGCCCGGTCAGCAACAGCATGGCGTGCCTCAGCCTCTTTACCGTGGAAATCCCGAACTGGAGCAAGCAGGCATTGACTTCGTTTTAACGT